GCTGGGAAGAGGGGGAAGGGTGCACCTCACGCTCCATCAGAGGGATGAGGCGTGAGGTGGAAGAAGAAGAAGAAGAAGAGGAAGAAGAAGAGGAAGTGATAGAGGAGGGGGGAAGGGGAGGGGGAGGAGAGAGGGTGGAGGGAGAATCCACCCTGTCCTCCCCTAGAACCTCAAAGCGGTTTGTCAGAGGTATCTCGGTGGAAGGAAGAACCTTTTTAGTTTTAGTCACAGAGACATGCCTGTTGACCGTGGGCTTTGGGACGTCAGCAGTAGAAGGACTTGCCGACCTCGTGACTTCCCGTGCTACCTTTGCGTATGACCGGCCAGGGACCGGGGTCACATCTGGCGGGGAGGTAGCTTTGCGGGCCTCCTAAAACGAACAGCCATTTCGTATTTCATACTCTTGGATTGCGCGTTCTTGGATCTAAGTCGGGCAATCCTTACTAAAGGCTGTGTGCTGGGCGTGGCAATTGGGGCAACAAGGACTAGCCTTGCATTCCTTCTCAGGATGCCCGGTCTTGCCACAACGAGGACACACGGCTGCGTGTCGGCATCTCGACTATGTCCGAACTTCTGACACTTGAAACAGCGCAGAAGGTTCGGTACATAGGGTCGCACGTTTAAGACCAAGTACGATGCCCGAACGGTGGCTGGAGGGCGACACGAATCAAAGGTCAGGATGACCGTGTTGGTTTCGAGGGTGGTCTCCCCCCGCCGGAGAGTAATCCGGCGGGCGTCAATCAAACCTTCGCAGTTTGCCACAATTTCCTCCATGCTGCAGCTTCGGTATTTCATGGCTGCGAACGACGCCCTTCGAGCAGTTCAACTTCTGGTATCGTTCAGAACCTGTCTTAGTGCATCTCCCGTCTTGAACAGATTCACATCAGTGATCTTCTTCTGTGCGTCTTCTTTGCAGCTGATGGCCACGTACGGCTGCTTCGGAAGCTCCCTGGGAGAAGGGAGAAAAGAGGCAGAGGTAAAGGTCCTTTTTCCATTTTTGAAGTTTTTGCTCGGCTCGGCGGCCGCACCCGCTTCCGCGAGCCGAGACTTTTTGACGTTGGGAGCTGGGGAAGGGTCTTTTTGAGTTTTAGAATCCATGAAAGTGTTCTATTTGATTCAACTCCGGGGCTCCCCGCCCACCATGGAGCCCAACAAGGGGACACATTGCTCGGATGACCAGAGCTGTGCCAGGGCTGCCCCGGAGCTGTACTCTCAATGAGAAAGTACAAGACCCTCCCGTCAAGATTGACCCAGGGCTTGATGGGGTTTCAGTTCTCAACCGATTGAGTGGCATGGGCCGTGCCACCCTCCCGTCTAAGAGGAAAACCTGGGCCAAAGAGGTGTGTTGGCGAGGGACAGTCCGTGGACTGATCTCATCTCAACCGCCAGGAACCCGGTTTCCCTCCGCGCGGGTCGCACCTCACGGTCAACGAGGCGCCCACTCTGTGGGATGGGTGACCTCTCGTTTTGCTGCACATGAGGTCAGCAGTGGTAGGAAAGATAGAAGAAGAAAGAAAGAAGGAAGGAGAAGAGGAAGATACACCAAAGTAAGTGTTGCACACGGATCCCAGAGGGCTGGGGTCCGTGTGTGACACTTCGCCTTTGAGGGGGTTGCACCTTCTGCAGACGAAGCAGTGGGTTTATTTATATCCCCCCGACCCACTGGGGGTTGCTGAAAGCTGTGTGCTGGCCGTGGCAATTGGGGCAGCAAGGACTAGCCTTGCATTCCTTCTCAGGATGCCCGGTCTTGCCACAACAAGGACACACGGCTGCGTGACGGCACCGTGACTGGCTATGGCTGAACTTCTGACACTTGAAACAGCGCAGAGGGTTCGGCACATAGGGTCGTACGTCGAGTACCAAGTAAGATGCCCGAACGGTGGCTGGAGGGCGACACAATTCTAAAGTGTGGACAATCGTGTTCGTTTCAATAGTAGTCTCCCCCCGCCGAAGAGTAATCCGGCGGGCTTCGACCACTCCCTCGCAGTGCTCTACAATTTCTTCCATGGAGTAGCCTTTCAGCTCATGGCTGAGGACCACGCCCTTCGAGCGGTTAAATTTCTGGTAGTGCTCGGACTTACATGGAATACCGCCGAAGGTCGTGGTATCCAGGAGTTTGGTCACTTCGTTCTCGGATGCGCACTTGACAAGGAGTGCACCACAGGAAAGTTTCTGTACACATGTGGGAATGTATCCCAGAACTTTCCGTAGTGCATCTGCTGTCTTAAAGAGGTTGAGATCGGTAATTCTTCTCTGTGTGTCTTTTGTACTGGAGATGGCCACGTACGGTTGCCTCAGAAGCTCCTTGGGAGAACGGAGGAAGGAGACATCGGTAAAGGTCCTTTTACCATTTTTTAAACTTCTGCTCGGCTCGGCGGCCGCACCCGCTTCCGCGAGCCGAGACTTCTTCACGTTGGGAGCTGGGGAAGGGTCTTTAGGGTTTTTAGAATCCATGAGAGTTTTCTATTTGCTTCGACTCCGGGGCTCCCCGTCCGCCATGGAGCCCAACAAGAGGACACATTGCTCGGATGACCAGAGCTGTGCCAGGGCTACAAGTTACTAATATTTCCCAATGTTCTCACATAGATCCCCAGAATAGATTTTAAAGCACTTGTATGCCAAATTTGAAGCTTCTAGCTTCAGTAGTTTTTTGAAAACTCCTTTGGACCAAAGAGGTCACATATGTCCAAAAGCAGATTGAGAAAAACAGACAAAAAACAGGAATTTTTAAAATGGATTTTCAGTGCAATATTATGTACTTTTCAAATGCCCTTTTAGGTCATTATGGGTGTTTTTTCAACAGTTTTATCATTGTGACCTGATAAAACAGATGTCAAAGGATGTTTTTCCGCAAAAAACAAAAGTTCGATAGTTAGAAAAATGTTATCGACATTAGCTGGGATCGCTGACCTGGGTCTTCTCTTAAGTTTCAAACTTATCTGGTTTTTTTGGTGTTTTTTTATTTTATTCTCTCATTGGTCTGTCCTGCAGACAACACAAAGACGCAGGAACTTTTTAACACCTTCTCAAACCAATCGCGACAACAATGTTTCTTGTCATATCTCCTTTTTTAATAGGCAGCCAGTATTTTCACGACATGTCGTGGGAAAAAAATCGTATGCGCATTTTCACCATCTGTTGTGGAAAGAACAAGGCTATGTGTGTTTTCACGACCTGTTGTGGAAAGAACAAGGCTATGTGTGTTTTCACGACATGTCGAAGACATACCGGCTCTTACCACAGAGGTCTAACCCTAGGCCTATTTGCTAAAATACTCTTTTTTTTTCTTCAGTACATCTATATCTAGATTCCGATTTTGGACCTGTTCTAGTTCTACCAACATTCCGATTTAGGTGTCAAAACTACCGGATTTGCGATGGGTGCCGAGAGTGCTTCCAATTTTCCCTTGCGAAATCCGAAGCCTAGGCCTACATCCCAAAATTCTGTATTTGCTGCATCATCATCTATGTCGCAACGAGTGTTTTAAAAAAGACTTTGGAGAGAGAGAGAGAGAGAGAGAGAAGGGGGGGAGGCACTTGCCTTTCTAGCTTCTCGGATGATAGATCTGAATCTAGAATCTAAACCTCGGCAGTTAAATTGTAGGCCTACTTGCACGCACTCGACCATTGTCCCTCTGTGCGTCTTGGTCGTGAAAATAACGGCTACCAAAATAAAGATTTTTTTAATAAAGTGAAATTGTGCTCTGGTTTTGGTATTCGACAATCGAACGTATAAACAATTGTGGAAAATTAGAGCATTTAAAATTATATAGGCTTGGTGACAGTACCGTCAGGATATATATTCCCGGATTTGCGTAGCCTACTGCTAGGAATGCGATGACAAATGGAATAGAAAGGCCCATTCCACGTCGTGTAGGTTACATAGTTCTGAGCTCTACTTTCATTTCTCTTGAAGAAGAGTTTTTTTTACAAGTGCAAGAACATGTAAAAAAAAAAGCGCAGGTACAAATAGATCTATGTGACAATAGGCTTGAGTAGGCGTAGATTCTAGGTCTAGCCATCGCCAGCAATCGTTCACCGCTTAGCAAAAGAGAGTTCTGGGGATTAAATTCTAGTAAGGGGTAGGCCTAGATCTAACTAAGTAAGGAAGACTTAAGATCTAACCTAGAATGAAAATGTTAATCTGTATATGATTTCAACCCTCTAAATTGATGTTACAAATAAAATATACCACCAAAAAACTATAAAATCAAGACTTAGTGCAGTGTCTCTGCTCGTGCTGTCGTAGCTTCCATAATACTAATGTTTACAAAAATTAAGAACAGGATGAGCTTGAAGTGTTTCGACTCGTCTTTGATTGTTTTGTTCTTGGTGGTGACTGATTTTCGAGGAATTTTTGCTGAAAACATACTTTGTACTGCAGTACTTCCAAAATTCTTTCTCAAACTCACGATACGCTTTAAAAATTCACCCCACTTCGAAGGGATGGGATCCGCCGTTCTTATTGAGAGAGAGAGAGAGAGAGAGAGAGAGAGAGAGAGAGAGAGAGAGAGAGAGAGAAGGAGGGAGGGAGGGGGAGAGAGAGAAGGAGGGAGGGGGAGAGAGAGAAGGAGGGAGGGGGAGAGAGAGAAGGAGGGAAGGGGAGAGAGAGAAGGAGGGAGGGAGAGAGAAGGAGGGAGGGAGAGAGAGAGAGAGAGAGGGAGGGAGGGAGAGAGAGAGAGAGAGAGAGAGAGAGAGAGAGAGAGAGAGAGAGAGAGAGAATCTTTTTAACTCCTAAAATCTCCAAAAAGCAAAAGAACGCAACCCCCAAGCTCCACAGTCCACAGTCAAGGAATGTTCTATTTTGCTTCAACTCTTTACTCAAACTGAAAAAAAAAGAACGGAAACACTTTAAAAAACCCACAAAAAGCAAAGAGCTCTTACGCAAATCCGGAGTTCTTCGATGGGCAAGAAAAAATGAGAGCTTTTGATTTTATCGGAGTACTTGGCAAGTTTGCTATTATGTGGCACAGGCAGGACAAACATTTAGCAGTTTTTTACCTGAGGGTCCACAATAGGTATAGCAGCCTTTGGCCTCTTCTGTGGTGTCCTAGATGGTTGTTGTAACTCTGGTGCATAGTACGTTATATCACCTCTGTACACCTTCTTTGGCTGAAGAAAAAGTGAATCAAAGACAAAAAATGAAAACCACTGCATGTAGTCACAGACACAAAATGATTAACAAGTACAGTTGATTCATTAACGTAATGGTGACTTAAAAAACATAAACCAAAGGTCAATATGTGAAGCGTTGTGGTGAAATCAAGCGCTTGTCAAAAATAATTAAATCGAAGAAATCATTCATCCATATCCCCCCCCCCCCCCCTATGGCAATTGTTATAGTCGTTTTGGGATTAATACCTTTTATGTGCACTTCAAAGCATTTTCTCGAATGGATTTTTACTGAGAAGCTATCAAAGGCACAAAAATTAAAATTTGCATAGTCCAAGGACACTACAACATTTTCGCTAATTTTACCTCTGAAGCCAGGTGACCCAAATCTGCTTGAATCAAAAGTATCTCGACTCCTACGGGTTAAATGAACAGGCTTTAAACCAATAATTCAATATGCCAAAAACTTGACCAGCGACTGATTCCATCATACTGCAAAACATATCTTTATTGTGCCTCAGCAGATTAAGGATCTAAGAATATATTATTAGTATTTGGGTGAAACATCTTATTGGTACTTAATCCGTTCCTTCGTCTTGGGCAATGTTTTGGGCTTTCCAGCGAAAAGTACCTTCTTTGTTCTCGACCCACTATGCAAAACAAGGGACCCAACGCAAGCAGCACGGTTGTGAAACGGTTGCGTAAGATAGACCGTCAGGCATGACACTATTGTTAGGCCCACTAATATTACCAAACAAGCCACACGGCACTACGCCCGATCGCGCTGGGCCGCCGGGCACAAAGCAATTATGTGCCTCGCTGGTGTTTACAGGTTTTTTGCCCGACGGCTTTCATTTGTGTTTTAATGTACTTATTTTTCACCTGTGTTAAATATTGTTTGACTGGGACATACTGTATGTTATACAGAATCATATAAGCAAAAAAAGTGGATTTTGACAATTTTTTCGCTTACAGGGTTGGTGCACGACGGCAACGATATTTAAAAAAAATATTCTTGTATATATATATAATATAATTACAATATATATATATATATATATATGTGTGTGTTTGTGTGCGTGTGTGTATATATTATACATTTTAATTTAAGTATATACATGTATTGATTTCCATTGTGTGTGCAAATTAGACGCTATGCGCAGCAGACCTTTATTTTGACGGGACAAAATGTAGAGTCTAGGTTTCTAAATGTATATCTTGTTTTCATATATTTACTAATCATACACACCTATGTGTATTGAGTTCAATCAATCAGTCAGACTTATTTTATGTTTTTAAAAGCCTATTCATCTCCTAATGACTATAAGACTACTGTTGTCTAAATGTAGATATCGAGAGGCTCCATTAAAAAATGAAATCAATACCCAACAACAATAATGATGAATATCTTCTATGTTAAAGAAACACCAAACCATATAAGGGGGTAGGGTGGGGTGGATAAGAGTTTGAGTCTTGTTTGATAGAATTATACTCAGTTTAAATCTATATTTGTAGTCTTCACCTCAAATCCCACAATTTATAATTCCTGTTCACTTAAGATTCCGCTGTTAAAAAATAAACCATACAAAGCAACAACAAATTTTACAACACAGGAGTCATCCCTAAGATAAATTATCCACCTCTGAAGTGTGAAGGGACTAAAAACGCAGCTTTCCATAAACTTTACTGAACAAAAAACCCTTCAAAGGTTATCCACACTCAAGCGTGTGATCACATCTCCGCTCTAAGTCTCGACAGAGAGTTTACAGTAATACTTGAGAGACGGCACTTCGCCCGGATGCGTGTATCTGGGTCACCAGCTGATCGTGGAGAAACGCGCAGTAAACAAAACAAACTGCGTCCATTGTTCAAGGCATTTTTGTTGATCGCAGACAAGCATGGCCCCGGTTAGCACGAAATGTCAATGGTATTCTGCTATAAACTGCACCTATTAGAGTCAAAATCTGAGTTTCTTTCGATTTCCAAGGGATAACGAATATATTTTGATGAATAAAAAAAATATAGATCAAAATAATGACAATGTGATTGTGGTCCTACCAGACTGACACTCCATGCACAAACTCAACACACTTCAACTTTGTTATATCAGCTATAAATTGGGGGTTTTTTTCCCCGTCTAAATGCCCAAATTGAGCTTGCATTCTACTAGTGAAAGATAATATGTTACGTGGGTCTGCGAAAAGATGTCTAAATACAAAGTGCCATTGATCGGTTTTGCTACTTTCTTTGTCCGATTACCACTTTTTTTCTTTTTTTTTTTTTTGGGGGGGGGGGGGGGTGGAATTGATGGGGATCCTATTAAACTCTTTAAGTGGCAGATTTATCATTATTGCTTCATGTGCTTTTCCATGATCTGAAATTGTGAGAATTTAATAAAATATGTGTGTGTTTGTGTGTGTGTGTGTGTGTGTGCGTGCGAGACAGACACTGACATATATAGACAGAGCGAGAGAGGGGAGAAAGAGAGACAGAGAAAGGGAGAGAGAGAGAGAGAGAGAGAGAGAGAGAGAGAGAGAGAGAGAGGGGGGGGGAAAAGAAAGAGACAGAGACAGACAGACAGACAGAATGAGAGAGAGAGAGAGAGAGAGAGACAGACAGACAGACAGAACAAGAGAGAGAGAGAGAGAGAGAGAGAGAGAGAGAGAGAGACAGATAGACAGACAGACAGTCAGACAGACAGACAAATAGACATAGCGAGAGAAACAGAGACACAGATTGACAGACAGGCATATAGACAGAGCGAGAGAGGGGAGAAAGAGAGACAGAGAGAGAGAGAGAGAGAGAGAGAGAGAGAGAGAGAGAGACAGACAGACAGACAGACAGACAGACAGACAGACAGACAGACAGACAGGTAGACAAACTTGTAGACAGACAGGTAGACAGAGGGAGAGAGGGGGGGAGAAAGAGAGACAGGGAGAGTGAAAAAGAGACAGGGAGAGAAAAAAAGACAGACAGACCGACAGAGAGGGAGAGAGAGATGACAGAGGGACACTGGAGAACGAGTAGATTTGCTGAAAATTAAACCGATTATTCCTTTAATTAAGGTGATATTATTTTTTCAGATCTATAGAGACGAAGTAATGTATCTGCGTCTATTTGTTTATTAGAATGTATGTTAACTTAAGCCAAAAACAAGTCTTTCAGTTTATGGCCGAGGGAGGCAGGGGGTTGCCTAAAATATGCAATAGAAACAACAGGTCTCCTTCTTTGTTAAAGGCCTAGTAACCTAGTGAACTAACTACAAACAGTACTACATTTTCTCATGACATGACAGCATCCCTGAACATCGCTGTGGCAGCGATCACCGCGCGTAAGTGTTTTCGCGCCCACCGCCGGGCGATACGCGAAACAATGCACCGTTGTTATGGAGCGCCGCCACGAGTGTCACCTCTCTATTACTGTAAACCCTCTCTGGTCTCGATGCGAGGTGCAAGTTCTCTCCAGATGCAAGGATTTTACGACAAAAGGATCGCGTCCAGGTGTGAACTCCTCGACGCCTTTGATTTTGCCGAACATCGAACTCGCAATATAAGAACCTACCGCCTGAGCTAACAGCCAAGGCATGATTCGTTAGGAAGGGCCAACTAGGCCGCCTCATACCCATGACCATCAAATTATCAGGGAGGCATGTAGAATAAATGTCAACATGACTGCCCTTCACCATGAAGGGCTGCTGAGTAATCGCTTCATTAATAAGGACAGAGGAACGCAAAGACACAAGCTAATAGACTGTACTATTCCTGTATCAATAATAGAACCTATAAGTTTTGATCTCATTCGAAAAGTCCAAAGGTGCTGTTATCTCTTTTTTTGGGTTTTTTTTTGGTTGAAATTATTGTGTGCTCCACTTTGTGAAAAACAGGAAACAAAATTATTGTAATCAATAATAAGCCTATTATTATTTATAGACCAAGACATAATACTGTTAGCAATCAGATAAAGCTGGCATCGACCCTCTTTTGTATTTGCTGTTCCTTACATATTAAGCTAGTTATGGCACACGCCTAGAATCATGCAGTCATATCTGAAATTCAGTTTTAAATATACATTTTTCACCATTTCTTATCATAATTAAATCTTTTAGCCTCTTGAAAGATTATCTTTATAATTTGGTATGTTTCACAATTTTATGTTACTTGGATATGTTTTCTTCTTATTTCGTCGATCTTCTTAATTCTTAAACTAGCCATAACATAAAACTTAAATAATTGAACAGTCCGTATCACACACAGAATTAAATTTTTTTTTACTCCCTGTCATTCTATCTGTCATCCCGTCAGTTGATCACAATCGCTCTCTCTTTCTCTCTCATTTAATTTTTCCCTTTCTCCTTCATCCCTTCCCATGGCCCGCCCCACCTCTTTCATCCCAGCCCCATCCCCTCTTCCTTGCCAAAAATCCCCCACCCCGCCCACCCCAACAACATGGCCCAGCCCTATAAGATTTTATAAAAAGAAACACAGCAGTTCGAAAGTTTAGACCATAGTCAGCGGCCAGCGGCCAGATTTGCTCCACACCTCGGTGTGCTGCTCGTGGCGCCGCGAAGAGAGAGAGAGGATCCATTTGTTTAAAACTCCTTGGTTAGCTCTCACTGTTTTGTTATTTTCATACAAGTTTATCTCTACCCATGTATTTATAGTTTTATGTTTTTAAAAACATCGCAAAATACATCTTTTTTAATTGTATGCAGGCTGCCACAGACACGGTATACTTCATGAACAAATGCAGAGTGCCTTTCTCCTGTTTAATGGTAAGGCAAGAGCCGACGCTGAGTGCCTTTTGTCAAAAAAAAGCAGATGAGCGTCTTTCTTCTCTTATAACTTCATTACTACTACCTGCGTAGATTTAAGACTTCTCATGGTAAAAGACATGATATTCGAAGTCAGTTTAACACACATTTTGGAGAGATCTATTGAGCCGTTTTTAAATAAACAATCATTTATTCATAAGTACGTAACTAAAATATGACAGATTGGGTACTCTTAGTTTCGTTTTAGTAAGGTTTTACGGCACTCGCAACTGAACAAGGCCATACGAGCGCCAATTGGGTACTCTACAAACACTTGCCTTTTAGCACATTAGTGTAATGGTTTGCTGTGTGGGATGGGGAAGAAGTCATATAGTTTCAAACATAGAAAAAAATGCAAACTTTTTAACTGGCACCGGCAAGTCACTTCAGGGTTCATTAACCCTGTGACCCAGAACTAGAGAGCTCCAGCAGGCTGCTGAGTCACGCTAACTAAAAGTAACAAAATTGCGCGAAAAGTTATGTCATGGATAAAGTAAATAAAAGATGAACTTTTTGAGGATATGGTGATCACGTCCACTTACTAAAATGCCTGATAAGAGACCAAATAAGGGTATAGGAGGTGGGGAACTTATGTGTTGAAAGTTTTAAGAAGCCAAAAATACCCACGTCTCAAAATCGATAATTCAGAACCAAATCAGAACTTTCAGCTGCTGAGCCCCCATCCAAACCATCTTAACTTTATCATAAATATGAATCGCCAATTCAAAGACCGGGTAGAGTCACATAGGAAGCATTAACTGGACTCAAATCATGCTAATAATAGTTTTTCAGACCCTGGGCAGACCTGTACAAGAAATTCAGGCTATTTAAAATGATAAATAAAGTCACCTGACCAGCCAGCCTTGAGAGCCTACAACACCAAGCACTCGGGCTATAAAGGAAGAGGAAGGCCACACAAAAGGTGGATTGAGGGTGTCAAGGAAACCCTAAGAAAACATAACATCACAACTGAAAGAGCTGCGGAGCTGGCCTACCATAGAAAACTGCATCTCCCCTCGACGCTTAACGGCAACAGAGGATGAAAAAGTAAAAAGTAAACTAAGTAAGTAATAAAGGGTTTTTGCCCTCATGACTATGCTGCATACAGCACTCATAACCCACAGCTTGTTCTTACCTGAGCAGAGGACTGTGTCCCAGGTTGGCTGGCAGAACCCTGGGATTGTTGCTGAGCATGCACAGCAGCAGCTGTTGTGGGAGGAGGGGGTGGTGATGTGTATGCCAGAGGAATGGGGAACCCAGCAGGGGTGCCTGGTGGGGGGACACGGGGGCCTCCTCCATACATCATGCCAGCTGGGAGGTAAGGGGGGCTAATGAGAGCAGCACCAGGGTTGGGCAACTGGCCTGGGGGTGGGGGGCCTCTTGGGGGGCGGAATATCGCAGCTGGGCCCGAGGGAACACTGGCAGCAGGTGTTGGGGGTGGTAATCCTAGGGTTGTGCTAGAAACTGGAAAGAGATATGTGGAAAGGGGTGGGGGGTGGGGGGAGAAGAAAATAAAAGTTATATTCCAGTCCATTAAAATTAAAAGATGTCATAAAGAAAGTACAGTAGAACACGGCTATAGTGGGACTTCTGGTTCCAGAACAAAAATCCCATAGTAACTGCAGGCAAGTCCCCGCCATAGGAATGCAAAAGGGAATTACCCAAATAATTATAAAAATCCACATGATTACCTCCCTTCCCCCAATAAAATTTGCGGCACATTATTCTTTATCTCGTCAACTTCATTGATTATCTTGGCCTTTAATTCGAGTGAGAATCATTTTCTTTTGTTATTGTTGGAAGCCATCCTTTTCTTGGTTTGTTGCTTGTGCTGTCTATCATAACGGTAGGCCTACTGTAGAACTGGTGAAGTGAATGCGTATACCTGAGCATCAACGATCACAATTCAATGAATCAGGAATCACAAACTACATGCCCTCCATTTCTTTTACTTTTTTGCCTAGCTTACGCCTAGGGCTATGGCCTATACACTCTTATACTGAGCGTCCAGGTTACGGCACATCACTTTTGGTTGGAGAGGCTCACGTAACGCATCTCTCCACACCATCGTTCTCTCCTGCCTGCCCTCATCTCCCTCATCACTGGACTGGCCAATCACTGATCCTTCAAACTCCTTAATCAAACGTCAACTAGATTGATCTGTTCCGATCTTGCGCATACTTAAGAAAACAAATGTCCACAACATGTGGGTCACCTCTTCTACTTTTGATTGATCCTCGTTTGGAATAATCCTTGAAAAATGTGTGATTACGGTATTGACCGAAGAGTCTGGGGTTGCACCTGGCTTTGCCCATAATCAGGGGCGGCTGGTCCATAGAGCATGGTCGTGCACTGCCGCCCAAAAGTTTTAGCACACAACACCCTCAAAGTGACAACAAAAGAACCTTTACCATCCATCATCCAATCAGTTTTCACGGCTGTTCAGTTTTACTCTCCGAGCGGTGCACTTAGTTGTAGCCCGTCTGACCCTTCTGAACCCTGTGACCCCTCGCGGAAGGTAATAAATCTCGACGCACGCCACTTCCACCGGCCTATCCCTAGATCTGACCGCTCCGCGCGGAAAGGGTACAATTTCCAGAAATTAACTGGAATTTACAGCATAGTACTCCCTTTCTCCATCCCGTAAACCTAGGAGTGTTATATACCAAATAAAAGCTCAACATCTCCTCTATAACCCGCAGTTTGAAACCAGTTTCTATCTCGTTTTATATTCCCTTGGGATACCTATATACTACCACTGTTGTACAGCTCTGTGTTATTGGATTTTTTTTATTTAAAAGAGAATTTTAATAATTGGAACCGACAATTTTTGTTTTAACCATCATATTTCTTTTTATAAATCTATTCTCTCCATTGTGGTGAAAAATCTCAGGGTACGAGCTAAATTTCCATGAACTACCCGGTAGCGCACTTTATGTGACTAGTCTAGTGCAACGCTCGGTGCAAAGAAAAACTCTGTGAAGCGGGAACTTGCCGCCTGACTTTCTTGTGTGTTTATAATCATAGAGCCTTTTAACATCAAAGATGGAACACTCTTATAACATCCACTTTGAGAATTTAAACAAGCTGTGTCGTACTTGTGGTGGAAGAAGTTAAAAAACTAAAGTTTCTAAGCGGCGTCGATTTTTGTGTAAAAACTTTAAGTCTGACTTATTGCAATGTTATAGACTGAACATTGACAACGACACAGCCAACAAGCATTCCAACACTGTGTGCAGGAAATGTGGCTCTGTGTGTGCTCGCTGTGTTAAACTTAGCAAAGCTCATGAGCTGTTGCATTGTCTCATTGTCCATGTTTCCAACCCTGCGGGACTCACATACATCACACAGGCCCTTTTGGGGATGATGCAACGCCAAATTGTTATTAAACTACTTTTTGAACACTGATAGTCCCAGGCCCTTGCGGCCCAGCTTCTCACACCTTTTCAAGAAACGATACTCCACCAGAGAACAAAAATGGGGTCCCTGATAACACTTTGCCAAGGTTTTTCGACAATAGTAAGACGGAATTTTGGTAATATTCCACAGAATTCATCTACAGGAACACTTTCTCATCCCTTCAAACAGGAGGGTGAATCTGCCTTTGGCACGGCGCACCGGCAGTGGAATTTTAGTTGCCGCGGGGGGGGGGGTTCCCGGCTGGGTGCCTTATCACGTCGGGGTCACGGGGATCAGCTCCCTGTCGCCGCTCTGTCTGGGCCGACCTAATTTTTGGTACTTTTCAACGAACAATTTAAGGTGTATCCTTGTATTTATGGTAATTCTCAGTTAGTGCACCCAAAGCACGCATTTCTGCTCTGGAGACTCAAAAAAGAACGGACGTTGTAACTTGTCTGGTTATTTCGTTAGACGCGCTGGAGTCGGCAATGCTAAATTGTAATTTTTTTGGGACAAGCGTGACACGGCTGTTCAGTTTCACTCTCCGAGCGGCGCACTTAGTTGTAGCCCGTCTGACCCTTCTGACCCCTGTGACCCCTCGCGGAAGGTAATAAATCTCGACGCGTTACGCCACTTTCACCGGCCTATCCCTAGATCTGACCGCTCCGCGCGGAAAGGGTACAATTTCCAGAAATTAACTGGAATTTACAGCATAGTACTCCCTTTCTCCATCCCGTAAACCTAGGAGTGTTGTATACCAAATAAAAGCTCAGCATCTCCTCTATAACCCGTAGTTTGAAACCAGTTTCTATCTCGTTTTATACTCCGTTGGGATACCTATATACTACCACTGTTGTACAGCTCTGTGTTATTGAAGTTTTTGGATTTAAAAGAGAATTTTAATAATTCGAACCGACAATTTTTGTTTTAACCTTCATATTTCTTTTTATAAATCTATTCTCTCCATTGTGGTGAAAAATCTCAAGGTAGGAGCTAAATTTCCATGAACTAGCGCACTTTATGTGACTAGTCTAGTGCAACGCTCGGTGCAAAGAAAAACGCTGTGAAGCGAGAACTTGCCGTCAGACTTTCTTGTGTGTTATAGAGCCTTTTAACATCAAAGATGGAACACTCTTATTACATCCACTTTGAGAATTTAAACAAGTAGTGTCGTACTTCTGGTGGAAGAAGTTTAAAAACTAAGGTTTCTAAGCAGCGTCGATTTTTGTGGAAACACTTTAAGTCTGACTTATTGCAATATTATAGACAGAACATTGACAACGACACAGCGACAAGCATTCCAACACTCAGTGCAGGAAATGTGGCTCGCGAATATACACACTACGGAAGCAAATTACAAATGCGGCTTTGAAGTCCGCACAGAAATGTGTAGAAGACAGTGCCTATGTTTGGTCTGCTTACGACGCAAGCATAAACATTAACCAGTGCTCTGTGTGTGCTCGCTGTGTTAAACTTACCAAAAGGTGCCTTAAAGAACGCATTCCTTTGCTTACGGAAGGACACGAGTTGCCTTGTCCGCCCCCCGCTCTTATGGCAGTGGAGTCTGCGAGCATAACGGATACCCCCACCCCAGATGTTTCCTCTGTAAGTACAGGCGATGGTGCTCAGCCCTTTACCACTCAATCCATTGACAGCACATTTACACATACAGACGAAGACTCATTTTACATTTCACCAGAAACTCATATTTTGACATCCACACCTAAAACGAAGACGAAACAGTTCACAGACAGTACCAGCTCCCCATTAGTCAAAAATGAAACGACATTAGAGTCAACACTTTTGAAATCGGACACAGAGCTACTCACGCCGTTAGAAGTAAAAGTAGCTAGATCTACACATCTGATCAGACGAAAGCTTAACACATCTCTGACGAAAGGACAGTTGAGGTTCAAAACAAAAGGACTGCCATTAGTGTTTCAAAGGATAGTCACACACAGAATATCATCTGACTTAGCAAGCTCACCGACAAGAAAACGAAGAACAAATATAATTAACAAAGTCAGGCAGTCGGTTGCTGGTAGAAGTAAAAGTGTTTTCCCACTCATTGACAAGACTGTCTGCATTAATCAACAATAGCAACAAGACATTTTGGTCCTACCTCATAAACGTAAGTGTGTTTGAAATTTCAAAGTCTGACTGTGAGCTGAAAATTAAGACTGTAACAATCTGTCGGTCCGTTTATTTTTAATTATTATTTTTTTAACATGTTTGTTTGTAATAATCAATCAATTGCGAACGCCACATTCCCCCTCTTTTAAACAACACTTTCTTTTACTTCTCCGTGATAAACATTATACTGTCGTAAACTACACCTTCGTCTTCATGTGATCATCTGGTTGTTGTTTCATTGACTTTCTCGGCTTTCATAAGAACTGGTGTTGTTTTATGTGTACAAAACATAACATTGCTGGGGAGCCGCTGACCGCGAGGCCGAGCGCCCGCAGGTAGCGTGACCGGGGCGTGACCTCGTCTCGGAGGTCAGGTCGGCCGGCAACTAAGCGATCCTGAGTGGAACAGCCGTGGTGAATGAAAAAAAAATCAATATAAAAAAAAGGCATTGTCAAAATCTGTCGAACTTTTGGAACATGAACGACATAACATTGGTGCAGATACTCAGAAAAGATAGTATCTGCGCATATAATAGAAGGCTGTAATTTTACAATTTTATCCATCGGGCACACAATTCGCTATGAAGTAATTCCTCCAAACACAACTTTATGTGTCTAATATAATCGTGAATATTCGCATATTTTCTCGAAAGTTTATAAAAGTTACCATGAAGTTTCTCTCTATGAAAAGTACAAATCGATTTTAGTGCTAGAATACATCTTCAACGTAGATCTAATACACGAACAGTATCTGTTACACTCCAGAAATTCCTTACTTTTCTTAAAACGCTAAGTCTAAGTTTTGTAAGTTGACTGAATAATAGGGATGACTTCTCGTAATTGGGTTATAAGAATAATTTCTAGCTTTCCAGGGACACTGAATCAGCACCAGACTTTTCCAGCTTTTTTTTTCATTTCTATGACCATTAATTGCAATAAATGACAATGTGACTGATTTCTTTACATTCATAATTGTGTCCGCGCATATTTCCTACACAAAAACTAAGAATGAATGTTTTAGCTGTCTTTATTTTTATTCCATACAAGAAGTTTATCTCTACCCACGTATTAACACGGTTTTGTGGTTTTTTAAATCGCTTATATTATATCTTTTTAGTTGTATGCAGGCTGCCACAGACACAGCATGATTCATGAACAAACGCCGAGTAACTTTCTCTTGTTTAATAGTAAAATAAGAGCTAACGCTGATCGTCTTTAGTTAAAAAATGCAGATGTGCATCTTTCTTCTCTTATAACTTGACTATTACTACTCGCGCAGATTTAAGATTTCTCATGGTAAAAGACATGATATTCGTAATCAGTTTGACACAGATTTTGGAGAGATCTGTCGAGCCTTTTTTAAATTAAAAATCATTTATTCACAAGTTTCTAACTAAAATAGGACAAATTGGGTACTCTACAAACACTTGTCTAGAACAAAATCTAAGGCACAGAAACTAACCATTCTAAAGCAGAATAAATCTCAAGACATTGAGCTTTTAGTACACCCGCGTAATGGTTTGCTATGTGGGATGGGGAAGAAGTTAAATCGTTTTAAACATAGTCAAAAATGCGAACTTCCTGACCGACACCGGCAAAGTCGCTTCAGGGCTCATTAACCCCATTGACCCCGAGCCGGGGAGCTCCGGCGGGCTGCTGAGTCACGCGAACTAAAAGTAACAGAATCGGGCGAAAAGTGACGCCGTGTTGGTAGCTCTAAATCTGACCCTAAAGAATCAGAGGAATTTTGAATCGTCGGAAAGAAAATTTCACCCCAACCCTTCACAGGGGAGGTTGCAAAGATCCAGAAGTTGGCTTGCGGGTTGTTGGGCGCCCTCGGCAGACACAACTTTGTCCTGACTCCCTAAGAAATTTTGCTCCAATTTTCAAAACCTTTTTTCCTTGGTTTTGGGGTCAGAATAGACAATTCTTCATCAGCAGGAACAACTTCTGCAGTTGGTGCAGGTAGTAAGGAGACTGCTGTCAGTACCCTGATGTCCGTTATTATTATTTTTAGGCCTTGGTCAGTATTTTTGTTAAAAGTCGACTGGGTAAATTATAAAGGAACCTCGCCATCTTGGTCCGCCGGCAAAATATCTAGCGTCGCCAAATGTCAACCTAAAAACTTACAGGCTGGCGAATGCCTGAGGGGCTTTTACTTAGTGAGGACTCACATGCAAGTCTAAGTGACAGATCGAAGGAAGATAACTCATTAATTCATCTAGTATTGGTAAACAAGTTCTTTTGACATTGGGCAGTCGGTGCTACATTTACTTAACAGAGGACATGACAATTTCGTTTTACCGCATGCCCCGTTGTACCGCTAACTTCATGCCCGTCCCATCGTAGGCGGTACAATGGGGTTTGACGGTAGGTATCGAAGGGTAATGATTACATTTTATTGCAAATGTGGGATGAAAACGGGTAAAATTGTTGCTGAACAAAAAATGGGACGAAAATGGGTAGTGAAACGAAGATGAGGGACAAAAAAGGGAGTACCACTTTTTACCCTGTTGCTCAAACACAGCTTTGCCGACAACTGAGACCTTTCTCCAGGCACACACACATTTGTGCATTGAAGAACAAATTATTACAATATTGATATTGTTAAATAAACTCAAGGAATATATTCGCTAATTTCATCTCAAGGTGTAGACCATTTCTTTCCATACAAGCTTCAATACGCCACTGGAAATTTTGAATAACCCTGTGGCCTGTTTTAGGGTCAATTCTAGGGACGTCCAGTTCAATATAGAGAGATTTGACAGTTCGATTGTTAGTGGGTTGCTTCCCTACATTCATGTCTGTCAAAAACCCCCAAAGGTAATAATTGAAGGGGCTCAAGTTGGGGGGGGAGAGGAATGTGGTAATCATTCATTAGTAAATTCCGGCTCATAAGGCGTTCCCCAAACCTTTCTTGCAACCACATCTTGGTGTGTGGGTCGTGGCGCCATCTCTCTCACTGGAACCAGGCCTGTACCGTAAACACATTCTCCCAAAACTTCTAAAAAAATTTCTCAAAACCTGAAGGAGAGACCCGGGTCGGTGATCCCAGTTCAAAATATTGATTTTTTTGTTTTGCTTTTTGCGGAAAAACATTCTTCAACATCTGTTCCATCAGATCTCAATGACGAAAGTGTTAAAAAAAACACCCTAAAAAACCTAAAAAGGTGTTTGAAAAGTGCATATTGAACTAAAGATCCTCTTTAATTTTAAAAAAAATCCTATTTTTTTCTGTTCTCAAAATCTCCTTTTTCACAAATGTGACCTCCTCAGTGCAAGAAGTTTTCAAAAACCACTGAAGCTAGAAGCTTCAAATTTGGCATATAATTAGTGCCTTAAGATCTATTCTGTGGATCTAAGTGAGGAAATTGGGAAATAGTAATTTATGGAAATATTCAATTTTTTTCTAACATTTACCCCAAAGTATCATCAACTGAGGGTCGTGAAACCAGAAGAGGCCGATCACGCTCCTGTTGCTGAACGCTTACAAGAAGTAAAATTTTGCATTTTACCCAATTTCGGTTGAAATTTCTAAAACTTGATATTTCTTGAACAAGATTGATTTTCTTGATATTTACAAACTTGACGTCCTCATGGTTAAATTTTGTTTGAATTTTTGTTGAAATTAGTGTAGCAATGACCGAGCTATCTCTCTTTAAGTGGGTCCTCTCTTTTTAGACACCCTGTACTTAGAGAACAAAAATAGGGGCACGCAATTTACTTTTCAGTTTTCTATACTCGTATCTTAAAAACTAAACATTGTACTGCTACTGAAACATTTAGCATGCAGACAAAAATGTGACTTACATATTGTATTATAGAAAAATCCGTCTCTTCTGTTATAGTAAATATTACCAGTTAAGATAGCTATTTGACAGACAATTTAAGTTTCTTCAGCTCTGATTACCACAGTAATGAAGAGAACATGGGCTACATAACTGAGCATAGGGCATTGTCATACAATAAGGCAGTCAACAAAAGCAATAAAGAACCGTGAAAAGTTGGGGGAAAATTTCAAGATTACCATCAGAGACAATCCCAACAATTCAATAACCATTTTGTTTCACAGCTGGTTACCTGGTAAGCCGTAAGGAAGCGGAGGGGCAGGAGGGAGAAGTGCTGGAGGAAAATGGGTCGAGTCCTGCACAGTGCTTGCTGGAGCCGCAGCCGTGTGAGGACCAACAGTGCCTGGCTCACATTGAAAGAAGGAAGGCGGGGGGAGGGCTGGATCGGGAGGGGTATGGCACGGATCAAACAGTGGTCAACATGAAGGAAATTGCATAGTATAAGGTGAAGCATTAAAAATCATTTAAGACATACCAACTGCGTCTTGATCTTCATAAATCAAGTAATACTTCTCAAGGTTTAAAACTGGATTATTAGGAGGAATTTTCATTTAAATCTAACTTCTGTTCAACTGAAATAAAGCAATTATATATGCAAGAGCTATGTTTAAACACAGAGATTCAAAATCTATAATAATTCATAGCATTTGTAAAGGGCATATCCCCGCTCAATAGCAAGCTCTACACACTTTACACTGTATTCTTACCCTAGCAGACCCTAGAACACTCAGAAACATTCTCTGCTTCCAGGGAAGCATACAGTGCAAGCACCTGATAAAGCGTTTAAAAAGACCTCACTGCATTTATTGTAAAAGAAATAGTAGAAAACACCGAAAGCTAAAACATAATTGACACCGCTTACACTCTCGGAGAAAAGTTCAGTCAATTAAACAACGCATCTATGGGCATTCACATCCACGTCTCACACAGCCAACCAGTGTCAAAAGACAACAAATTGACACATGCATCAAAACTTACATGTCATTATACAGGAGACACTTTAGTGAAAAGATACTTCCCAAACACCACATTATAGAAAACCACTGCATCCCATGGACACAAACATATGGGTTTGGTTTGGCTTTACATGGGTAACAGGGTGGTGAACGTATCCATGCTTCTGTGGCAAAGCTAGAGAGAAGAGGAGCTGGGAAACGTAATATCGAACAAAAGCTGAATGTTGTGATGCAATCTCAGCACCTCATGTCAAATCTAGAACTATTATCCAACGTGCCTTTGACAAAGATAAAAAGGTGATACTGCAATCAACTCTTCACTACTCCACAAAAACAACAAAGTGAATTTTGATATTTGACCATTTCTGGAATATTTTATGTGAATTTGAAGAATTTTTGAGTTTTGTTCGACTGAAATGTTGATTAAAAAATCTCCACCCCCAAGGGCAATGTTAAATCATGAGCCATTTTTTGAACACAATATATAATTATTGCTATTTCATACAGTTTTGCATCTTTGTCAGTAAGTGCCCAAGTTCCCTCTTGTTCCAAACTGGCAAAATAAAATGAAGGCAAAGTCACCGATTGGCGTATTTTGCTAGTTTAATTGTCCTAAAAATGAAATGAACAACGCTGTCAGCGGGACACAAGGAATTCCCCTGGCCACGAGTTCATGACCCCGCGACCGGGTCAGATTACAAGACGCGACGCGCTGGCTGCCTGCGAAATAAAGTACAGTATTCTAACAGCCGTGCTGGGTTTATCTATATAAGAAAAAAACATTTGACGGCGATGTGAATAGTAGAACTTATGTCTGGTCTTATCGTATATAAGAAAAAACAATTCGACGGCGCTTCGATTAGAGGAAGTTAGATCTCGGCTTATCGCATATAAGAAAAAACATTCGACGGCGCTATGAATAGTTAGTGAATGTTGAATAGTGGAAGTTAGGTCTGGGCCTATCATAAAGAAAAAAATAACAACATTTGAAAGAGGTATTCGAATAACATGAATAGTGAAGTCATGCTTCGGAGCTTCGATGAATTTTTGTTTCCTCAAAATCGCACAGCACTATTTGTTAAGGCAGATAGGGGGAAATAAGTCTCTACTCCACGCGGACATCGCTTGTTTTCCCCCTTGTACTCATTGGACATGGCTGGTTCTCCCCTTGTGCACATTTTTTTCTCACGGGCATTGAGACGTACTGTGATGGTTTTTCGGTTTTTCCAAATGGTAAAAACATGGGGCTTGGTCAAGACTAACACTTGCTGCGTTGGACATCGCTGGTTTTCCCCTTGCACCCTTCATAATACATTATATATATATATATATATACACACACTAACTGGGTACCCATGGGATGAATGGACTCAAAAGAATTGATTGTCAAGTCTTTGTGGAAGCAGTGCGCACAGCCTGTGAACAGATGCCTCACTTGCTTACAATGGAGTTTTAAAAGACGATCTTTCCCAAGATTAGATCTAAACGAAATAAATGAAAAACTAAAAATCAAACTACAGTGCCTTCAGACTCTTTAATATAAATGTGCACCCTTAATATGATTCAGAAGCATCCTTAATTTTTTTTTTCAAATGTGAAAGTTTAGTGGTTCGGAAGTTTTAGGCGGCCAAAGTGACGAACTTTCTCATTTATTTAGTGACTCTCGTGGTCTAGATGTTAGTGTCCTGATTTCATTAATGGGTCCCCGGTTCTAAACCGGACAGAGGCGGAAAATTTTCTTCCCTAAAAATTATACTGTAGTCTGCTTTCGTCTCCACTTTCTGCTCCCCCCCCCCCCCCCCCCCCACCCCCGCCTCTTGGCTCCGGGGTCTTTCTGTAGCCTTTCTACTGCTACTCCTTCTTACTGCTGTCTTTGCAGCCACACCCCTGATCTTATGGTAGGTCAGACAACTAGCCTTCTCTGATAAGGGTAAAAAATCTCTGAGGTCCTATGTGCAAGTTGCACACATTAACTCTATATCTCTGAGGGAGATAGACCCATTATCCAGGGGCCCTTTATTTTTGGTACTAAATCTAGAAAAGACAAAAACCTCACTTAACTAGTCATTACATCAAAAGAACTGAACCTATTTTGATAGTTCATCTTATGAATAAAATCCCCATAAAAGATACCTATTTTCAGCATTTGCCGAAAAGTAATTCAATGTCGAAGTCGCCCTAAAGGGATGAGCCCGAGCTGCTGTCAGTGACTCACAAGCACAGCGTTTTAAATTTTTTCCGGGTGGCAGCCAAAGACTATTCATGCAGTTTGGGACCACCAAGTGATCTTTGACATGCGCAACTTGCACACGAGACCTTCGAGATTTTTCACTTTTCCTGAATTAGGGACTCCTAGAGCCAAAAACCGGGACATTTGATCCAAAAAAAGGGAAAGCACAAAACGAAACAAAAAGATTGCCACTTAATTCACTTGTCTTGGACGCTTTCTTCTTTTCATTACCGGTATATCCACTGGCAGCACGCTTCATTATGGATAACAATCCTTCTTTAAAAAAAATGTCGAAAATAATCAAGAAATTAGCAGAAATAATCTAGGTCTAGATCTTATTCTATATCTTAGGAAAGCTGGTTGTTGATGCGTCGCATGCGGTCCAAATCACAAAGATACTATGCTGTATGAAGTTAAGATAGAAAGTCAGATAAAGAAACAATATTGATGCCGAATTGAAAAAGACCCCCCAAAAAAGTCAAGGCCGAATCGAAAAACACCGTGTCGCCACATAAGAATAGCGTGGAAGGTCAAAATTTGTCCCAAGTAGGCTATCCGTACTCTTCGGGCAACTCAACAGGAAGCAGGGTTTATTGATTTTTTAGGCGAAATAAAAACTATGCTCAATCCCCGCACAGAAACGAAATAATTACGGGATAATTTTGCAGCCGTCTTGAGATCGACAGAAACCGGGAAGAAGCGTAGCAAAAACAAGACACCGGGACAAGGCCTCGAAATCGGTGAAAAAACGGCTTGTCCTGAGAAAACCAGGACAAGTATCGGTATAGTATAGGGTTTTACGGCGCTCGCAACTGCGTACGGTCATATGAGCGTGCGAAACACAAGTTGTTCAAAAGTTCACTGCACGATTGGTTAACTATTAGACTTTAAAAGGCTAAAATATTAAAATTCAGTGTAAATATATTTGCGATTTAAAACAACTCTTATAAGTAACAATAACAATTTTAAATAGTACGATTTCACTTTACAATTTGCCATAAAGGCCAATGGCCTTCATAAAATTCAAAATTTTGCTGGGACCAACGACGGAAAAAATGTCTTGCAATTTCTTGCATTTATAATATTTCCTTTGGATCTCTGCAAAGTCTAGACATTCGGTTAAGATGTGTCTAATGGTAAAATCTGTGTCGGATACGGCTTCTCATCTCCCTGTAGGAGGTATTTGTGGGTCAGGGCCGTGTTTGCGGTGCGCAATCGATTAAAAATGACTTCGTCTCTTCTGGAGAGGTCCGAAGGATTTCGCTGTTCCAGTTTGGGTTTTATAACATATAGTTTATTGTTTTTCTGCTTTTCCCAGTGGTTTTCCCACAGACTGGAGGTGTACTTTTTGACTTTATTTCTAAAGTCAGTCTGAGGGAGAGTGTTTGTCGTTGATCCCAGCAGAAGGGATGAGGCTTTCTTCGCCAGGTCGTCTACCTGCTTGTTTCCTCGGATGCCCGCATGGCTAGGTATCCATGCGAACATGATGTCTTTTCCTGTTTCGGATAGTGTATGAATTTTCTGTTGTAGCCTAACTACTTTTGGATGTAAGAGTGTGTAGTTTGTGAGTGAGGTGATGCAAGACAGAGAGTCAGAAAGGATAAGGAAAGATTTGTTTGGAGAGTACTCTACGGAGTCCAGTGCCATGTCAATGGCAGTGGCCTCCACAGAGAAAATGGAGGCTTCAGGATGGAGTCTCCTCTGGTGTGTACTGTAGGAAGACAGGACAAATAAGAAGGCCTGCGAGGGGGCAAAAAGTCAAGAGGAAAGCATACGACAGAACATTGTTAGAGAGCAGGAAAAGATGTGAAAGATAATTTTAGAGAAGAAAATTTTCCGTCGTTATCCAGATTCAAACCTGTGATCTACACAATGAGAGGCAGACACCTGAACCTCTAGACTACGAGAGTACCCTGAAAATGTTTAATGTGTTCAGCATGCTCATATGACCTTTATGAGTTGAGAGCGCTGTAAAACACTTACCAAAACAAAAAAACAACACAAACAACAAAGGATGTGTCAAGCACATCTCTCGATCCCCAATGCTTTTGGGACATCCATATATCTGCAAAGTATTTGCTCATTTTTAGTTGTTTTTTTAAATTATGTTCAGATACCCAACTTAATTCTTGCTCCACCGTACTCGAAACAAAAAATATTACCATTGCCAAGAGAAAAAATCCACGTAAATCAAAAAAATGTATTTTACAACCCCTCAGCGTATATAATATATTACATATATATATATATATATATGCAAAAAAAGAAATATCATACCCATGCAACAAGACGAGAGGGGTAGGCTGTAGGAATTGGTGGGAGGAAAACCAAAAGACAGTCTGTGAAGCACAAAGAAAAAAATACCTGGGTTGTACAACTTTGCCCCAGAGTCTACAGGTGGTGGTCCAGTAAAGCTCCCCTTGCTCATGGCCTGCTGTCGTTGGGACGAGTAGCGTTTTGACACCGTTGTGCCACCTGATGCTGTCGCTCCAGGGTCACCGGCCACTTGACTTGATAGACCTTGACCATGTCCACTCTGTGTTTGTGTCACTGGGTAGGTCAAACACACACAATAAAAGGGAGAACATTCAATGAATACTGAGGGCTCAATGTTCTGTTAGGTCTTTTTTTTTACACAGCTCAAGACCACACACAAATATTTGGGGTCAGACAATGTTTCTAGGATTTTAAGAAACCTCCCTTGACAATTACGTGGTGTGAGCAAATTATAATTCTAAAAAAGATTTTGTGGATTTTTTTTTTCATTTCCCCAAAAGGTTTATTTCATTACTGTAAGTTAAGGGGTAAAAACTCAAAAAAAACCCATAAAAGCTAATGCAAAGAAATATCTAGGCTAAATGCACCATGCAATTTTAAATAAAATGTTGAAAAAAAAAATAATTTCCATGATTTTTTTAAAAACAAAATTTTTTACTTTTGACTATTTTCATTACAGTCAAACCTTTGATATATTCCTCTTAAATTAACTGTATAAAACGGAAACCTGTCCAACGCAGAAACGGAAAGAAACATTCTCTCCCTTACGAGGATTTCACCTAAGACGGAAAATGCTTTGTCACCTCAGCCCTGATTTGAAACAAAACTGGCAAGTTTTATTTCGCCGGCTCAAGATTTAAATTTAACGCCACTGCCACGCCACAGGGCCAGGAAGGGGAGTAGGGGTGCAATTTGGGGGTAGATGTTACCCCATCATGTGAGCCCTGAGCGATGCAGATGGTCAGGGTAGTGTAGGTGGGAAATCTCACAACTGCCCGTGAAAGTGCTTAAGCAGCGAACCACTACGAAGAACGTTCCTGGGTAGCCAGAAGTGTGAAATTAGATCGACCAAGGCCTGCCACTCTGATTGTACGGCCAGCCGTGAAAAGAGCTCCTCGAATCGTTGTTACAAGATGGCAGTGAGGGGTGGCATTGGTTGACTGAGCTTGTTACACCGATCGGTCGGTGGGGCTAAAGGTGGAAGCAAAGGAGATGTTCAAACGTTTCTGTTTTTAATAGGTCAAACAGTGGTCCTATGAAAGGCAAGCACTGGTGGTAATTGGACAAGTAAGACTGACGCATGTCATTATCAGACAGGATAACAATTGAAAGGTGTGAAGTTTTGACCACAGTTCGCCGATCGGACAAGCGATCCTTGATCCCACCGGCTGGGCCTCTGAAAACCCCCTTCATCTCCCCCTAAATTCCCCTGTCTAAGACATAATTTTTTTCTGGCTCCCTAGCGATTCCGTCTTACACAGGTTCGACTGTACTTAGTCATCTAAAAGTAACGAAATTAATGTAGACAACTTAAAGAAAAGCTGGCGCAGTTGTGTTTTTTTTTTGTGTGTGCTGGTTACAAACATGTAACTATTTAATAGAGATGGTATGAATAGTTTTTTAGATTTTGGCTCCAGAAAATAATCTTTCCATTTGTTTCTCTTTGATTTGCCATTTCCATGATAATGTAGCTATACATTTTTCCACAAAACAAAATATTTTCATCTTTGAAAGGAATTCTTTAAGAAAATGAGATGATGATGCATGCTATGCTAAGAAAAAGTAACACAATAATCCAAATTTGCACACTAAGAAAGTGTGCATGAATGAGGCACATCCACATGCTTCATTGTCTAAACTGGATAAAGGTTGGAACAGTGGAAACATTGTGTCAGCTATTCGTCAACTGTTTGCTCCACAACAGGACACCAGATATTGAACTTTGTATCGTCTTTGACAGCTATGAAATGATAACTATCAAAGCACCTGAGCAAAAGAGAAGGAAAACTGCGTACACACCACATTCAGTCATTGATCTTCTTCACACCACAAATCTGTAGACTGACAAAGATTCGTTCCTTACCCATCTTCAGAATAAACAAACATTGGTGCGACTCTTTGTGACATCATTAGAAAAAGAGGACATTTGAGTTGCTCATGCCAAAGAAGAAGGGGATGTGGACAAACCCATTGAGAGCAAAGTGTTACAGTTTGTAGCTGAAAGTTTACCCGTGGTTGTCTTGGCTAATGATACAGATATACTGGTAATGCTTCTGTATGATGTGAACAAGGACATGAAAGTCTACATCTGAAGCGAAGTAACGTCCAAATAATTTCTATTCAAGCAGCTAAAATGACCATAGGTGAGTACATGTGCTGTTGCATCCTGGTTGCAAATGCCGTGTCAGGATGTGACACAGCGCCTGCTGTCTTAGGCATTGATAAGCTAAAGGCTTTCAAGCAGTTGCAAAAGTCCGAGCATTGGCATCAGAAGACCACTATTTTTGGACAAACAGATGCCGACGTAACTGACATCACAGACATAGGAGTCAAGTTCTTGTCATTCCTTTACTGCAGTGGAATGCAAAACCTGAGCCTTACTGATCTTCGATATCAACAATTCATCTCCCCAAAGTACGAGCCACTTGAACGGATGGCTCCTGCAGAGAGAGCCGCACAGTCCCATGCCCTTAGAGTGCATCACCAGGTTAGTGCATGGCTTAATCTGCGCACTGTCTATGACTTTGTTGATTACAGCTTTATAGTGAGTGACAACATTGTGAGTCCAGTGATAACTGACAATGCTCCGGCCCCAGATGAACTGCTACGTGAAATCCGCTGTTCATGTAATAGTAGCACTCAACTATGCAAATCCTGTACTTGCTGCAAGTACAACATCCCTTGCAGTATACATTGTCATTGCAAAGGACAGTATGAAAATGCTTCAGAAACAGATACAATTTAAATTGGATCTAGGGAAAGAACTGCCGAGCTCAGTATCTCCTAGTTTACACATTGAGTGCCTGGCCCACGACGCAAATGGAGTGGAAGGGGACCAGCTCTCTACAAATCTACGCAAACAGACTTCTTCTTAAGTTCCCGAACTAGGTCGTAACAAGAATATGAAGGACTCTATAGCTCTTCAGAGCAACCAATCTAGAAGAAAAAAACTCATACATAACAAAAGTCATACACTTATGGCCATAACTCAAAACAATCGGTTAGAAATGGAATGGGGGAGTTCCAAATGTGAAATCACGAAAAGGTCTTATTTCGCCCTCACATAACTATTTTTACTTATCTTCCCATGTTTACCAACGAATTTTCATAAAGCTTGGCATACAAAAGCCGAGCTGCATGCTATGCCCAAACATGGATTTATTTTTTCGAGGTTTATATAACCACACCATATCTTTTTTGTTTTTAAAAGTTTAACATTATTATTCAGTCATGTGTTTACCACCAATAGGTAACTTAAATGTAAGTTAATTGCATAAACAACATTAATTCTGTGTTTTTCTTGTTGAGACGTTGAATTTGATACCAAACACGAGCACATTTGAGTTATTTTTTTAAAATGACCTTGACCTTTGATTCTCTTTAAATGCTAATTAAATGATAACTATTGAGTCAACTTTAAAAGTAGAAGTATATTTATGTTTCATTTGATTATCTCTTTCATACTGAACACATATGACATCTTTTAACAAATTCGAAAATTGACCTTTTTGACTTTTATTAGGTTAAAATTAAGCCTGTTCCCCAAGGGCGATTTTGGTTGCATTTTTTTGGGTAGTACTTAACAGCTCAAAGTTCAAGTTGGCGCAAAAAACTGGTTGTTATCTTTCATGTCCGGGTTTGGTGTCAATTTTTACTGGCCTATTTCAGGATGCCCAGTCTCGCCCCAACAAGGACAAAGGTGCATCTCAGCATTACGACAGGCTACGGCCAAACTTTTAACACTTGAAGCCATGAAGAAGATTCAACACATACATCAAGGGCCAAATTGTTGTTATTGTTATTGTTTCAGGAAGCAACATCCCAGCATTCCGGACATGTCCATTGATGCTCCATTGCTCTCTCCAAAATGTCCCAGAGGGTCTTTCCACTGATTGTGCCAGTGCATATCTGGTTGAACGTTCTTCTGTTCTTTCCTGCAAGGAGGCCAGATTTTCCGCTTCCTTTTTGTATTCCCAAAAGCATCATCCTTTCCACAGCAGTACTGGCCTCTGCCTCCCTATCTTCCTCCTCAATCAGCTGGCGAGAGAGACATTTCAGGATCTCGCCTGTCTGGTTGAAACGTGCTGTCAACTGAGATGGAGCCAGCCAGTCTGTCCACCTTTTCATTTCCCTTAACGCCTGCATGGCTAGGGCAGAAAATCCATGTGAGCGATCGTATGGGCGTTGCTTCGATGACTTGAATCCATTCTGTTCTCAGGAAACCTTTTTCCATCCCTCTGAGGGTACACACGGAATCAGTGATGAGAACAGCATGGGTTGTGTAGGGGCGATCTTGGGTCATCCATTCAAGTGCTTTCGTGAAGGCTTCAATTTCCATTCGCATACTTGATGTAGCCGTCTGCAGGCTCCAGACGCACTGTGGTTGATTTTATTGTTGGCGAATGCAACAAATCCCCATCCACTTCGCTGAATATCTCTTTTCACTGAACCATCTGTATAAATGTGTCTTGAAGTCCAAACCCTCGTCCACACCGTGGGAGATGGAAACAGGACAAAGTAGGGGATAGCTGGGTCTGGGTGAAGTACAGTGTGACTTTATCTAGCATATGCGTTTGTTGCGGCCGTGACCCGGGAATCGCGGTCGTGATTTTTGCAGTTTTCAAAAAAGACAAAACAACAAAGCTACTTCATAACACATTAGACACGTATCTTGATAAGTTTTAAGATGTCCGTGTGTATCTATTTTCAAGCGAAGAATATAAGTACATTACATACTATTTATATTGCTGTCTGCTGTCTTTTATTTTCCCCTCTTTTTAGTGTTTTAATTTGTTGGTGTGTCAATTTTTCTAAAAATAGTTCTGATGATTTGTCAGGTTCTTTTTGTGTGTGTGTTTATACAGCGTAATGTCATTTAATTTAATGCTATTCCTACTCTTTTAAAAATATAAATGTGTTATGTTAGAGCGCGTCTCTACCAAAACCAAACACTGACACTGGCAGGCCCCTTGTGTGTGATTCCATAATCATCCTGTAATATCCTGTAGGCCTACTTTCTCTTAAATTACACACATTTAGGGTTTAAAACAGAC